CAACAAACTAGTGTAGTGAACGTCATTCATATTTCATTCATTTCAACTATCTACTAGTGTAATGCCCAAGTCTTTTGTTGCGCACAGAACACGGTGCACAGGTCTCAAAAGTTAGTAAGAATTCAGTGCACCGCGAAAGTGCTCAAATGTTTGTGTATTTGCTGTACGTCCGTGTAACAGCGAATGGAAATTGTGTGGCTTCATTTAAATACATATATTCTGCGAAATTATTTGTTCATTAGTACTTTCTTTGCAATTTTGTATGTTTGTCATATGTTGCTGTACGTGAAGCTACGACGATTTATGTAAAGTTTATTACCGCTAATTTTCATTAATTAAAAAAAAAAACGTTCCCACGCAAGTTGTTCATTGGTTGCTGTCCCGCACAGCGTTGCCAGTTTTAGCCAGTACGGCCAGCATGTGGCTCGTGACTTGTTCCCTAATCCTTGCTGATCAAATGTTTTTATTAGAGTCAGGGCCGAGGCCTTTTTACAATTGTGCTACACTGCGACAGTCGCACATTAGTTTCCGTCGGTCGATTTTACAATTGTGCTACATGTTACGTGTATACTCTTTTACCGCCGTCCCTCGTGAGAAACAGCACTGAAATTAACAAATGAAAAGTCGAGGATTTTCCACGCTTATATGTTTTCTAGGTTTAATTCTGCTGTTGAAACGCCACACAATCATATCGAAGTTATGATGCATACAAAGAAAATTTAAGTAATTCAATTTTTTTCTTTACGACGGGTGCGTTTGTTCGTTTCTGAAAGGTTAAAATGCATTATGAAATATACAGCATGCAAACAATGTGTACACACTATTTGTACGGCAAATTATTACGGTGTTCGTTGATATGTAGGTTAATAATGTAATACTTCCTTTAATAGTTACCAAATTAATGGGGATCCAAGCGCTACAATTCAACGCTGATACACGTCGAGAGCCTAGCACCCTTGCCGACTGACCTATATTACGCAATGCGACAAATATACGATACAAATTTAGCGCTGTTCGATTTCGGCATTGAATATATTCAATGGTTTCGGTATCACACACTTACCTAGTATGATTCCGTATTATTGCTTTAAAATTCTGTAAAAGTATTTTAAGCTATTAATACTTACATCGCGTTACTGTAACATTGAAAGTTATTTCTCAAGAGCATGCATTGTAAAAATTTGGGGAAAGTTACTTGACAATTGTGAAGTAATATTCCCAAACCGTTTATGGGAAAGAGATTTTTCCTTGCATGTAACGTATTACTACCGCAGTTTGCAATAGGATTTCCTCGCACAGCAGTGAAATGTCATGTTCATGTAGGTATATGTGAAAATTACCGTTCGACGTGTGTAAAACACTTCTGCGCATCTGCTGACCATCATCAATTAACAATACCCGTGTATGTATAATACCTTGGAAAATCGTATAATATTTTAAGGTTTGTTGGAGAAATTGAGCACTTTTTTCTTACTTTTAGTCAGTTTGTATAGTACTGCACGTTTAAAATTCGCATTATTCTTATCAGGTTCACAGCAGTGTAGTGGTTAAGACACTTGAGTGGAACTGCAAGGGTTCGGCGTCAGAGTCTGGAATATGCTGATTACTTGTTTTTGTGTTTTCGAAATTGTGATTTACCATACGGATAGTGACGTTTATTTTCCAAATAACAATGGAAAATATTATTTTCCTTACTGACATATAATTTACGTATGTAATATTCCATTACTTGTCGTGGAATGTTCCTCTACTTTCCATGTAAAATTACCGCATATTTAAACGGTAATTTTTCCTTATAGGCTATTCACGATAAAGTGAGCACTATTTTAAGGCCCTCCCAACAGTCATTAATCACTAATGAATATGTTTCATTGTAACCTAAGTCATTAGGTTTTGAGGGTGGTGAAGTGTATACACTATGTTTATTGGTCACATTGCAATGTTTATATTAAAAAGCAGCAGGAAGATTGAAATTGGATAAAAGGAAAAATTTAGAAGGGCCTTAAAAAGTCCTCACTTTACCGTGGACAGCCTATATCTGTAAGTGTAATTTGCTTCTCGTACACGTAAGGGAAATTTACCTAAAAAAAAAAATTATTTCCCGAGTGTCCGCCATGTTGTCTGCTTGAGCTCGCGGGTAATAGATAAGATTATGGACATGTCCTAGTACGTTTTCTGCTTTGGAAATTCGTAATAAAACTCTTAGACCCTGAGACAAACCCTTCGGAAGGGTGCTGAAAGTCACCCGGGAGCAGGAAATTGGTATGAAAATGGATATGTAAACTGTTACGGAATTGGGCATCGTATGAGGCCAGCTTAATCAACCGTCTCGTATTAGCAAATGTAATACATACGTACAAGAGATTGATTTCTAATCTACCTTCAAATCCGCAAAATTTCTATGTCTCTAGTTATAGTACTCTGATTTTATAGATGGAGGTGTACGGGAAGATGTATTCCTTGTCTACTTAAACATATGTTTGCCTGGCCATTCAACATGTATATAAACATATACATATTTCAAACATAATATATTTTCAATTGCCACATGGCTACGTGGCTAGGTTTGCATTACATACACGGACATGTCTTATACGAAATACGACAAACGTAAGTTTGCAGAATTGACATAATCACTTTATGACATAAATAAAAATATTGCTGAGCAAAATGTCCAAAAAGTTACCTTCTGGTGGCGAACCCCTCTGTAGCGTCATTCTACCATACAATTCGGCTTTGAAGACTTCGCTCTTAATAGGCACCCGAATTACACTTCGAATTACAGCTATGTAGGTTATTTAAGTTATTCGCTAGTAAGAGATAATTATATTTGCCTATATACCATAGAGTCAACGGATTAAATATTTTACACGCTACGTGTTTTTCAGTACATATAGGTGCTTGGAATGGGTGTTACGTTCTGTCAACGATAGTCTTCTGGAACTTGACGATGGAAAACTTAGGAACAAATTCGTATGCGCTAGCCACTTTTCAAAAGAACATTTTTTTTTTTAATGAGCAAAGGAATTCTTCGAATTGGTCTGCCGTGCCTTTGATGTATGGAGAACCGAACCAATTTTCAGTGCAGCAGTGAACGCGTATCAACTAAGGTTTCTCCTTCATCATTGTCAGAAAGGCAGAATGGAACTCTGCAAATACTTGAAGAGACACTTAATAAAGAGAATTTAAATTCACCGCAGCCATCAACGCAAACAACAGACGCGAACAACAGCTCGTCTGTGCGAGCCCTGAAGGAAGGGAAGACCAGTGGTGACACATCCCGGAAAGTAAAACTGCTATTTCTGATCTGTATAAACCAACTACCATTTTATTTGCAGTCTAAAATAGATCATGTTATTTGCAGATTTCATAGGTACAAATTTAATACTATGGGGACAGTCTAGTAGGGACTCGGGCAACAAAGTTGGATCATTATTTAAATTGGCAAAACATATAGAAGTCACGACAAACGAACTTACGATATTAGTAAAGTACTCGTTAAAATAGATAAATGTTAAACATTTTCATCATGTTCTAACGTAGTAGAAACTCGACTAATAGCAATCGAGTTTTCCTTCTTCAAAAAAGGCCATGCGAATCATATAGAACAAGAATAGCAGAAAAATATGCAAAAAAAAAACTCTTCAAAAATAAGAAAATTCTAACATTTGCTTGAGGTTGTGGGTATGTAAATACACTTTAAACTTGGAACACAGCAAATTTTAATCACCCCCCTCGTTACACTCTATGAAGGAAATTGCTATTAATTACTCTAATTTACAAGTGGATGTGATTGATAAATTATGACAATGATATAATATATTATCAGAATATCTCGTTTACATTGTGTTCTGTTATCGAAACGCTCTGGTTTTTTTTTTTTTTTTTTAATCAATGTATGTATTCGTGTCATGTAAAAACATTCAACTCTATGTTGGTAGGCATAATATTGGACTCAAATTTCATATGCAAATCTGTATGTTGTTCGTTGTGTGCATAAATTTTTTAATATTCTATAGATGTGCTAATGTATACAATTGTACTGGCGTGCTCCATATCCATATCCCTGCTGTCCTCGAGGTACTGAGTGGGATAAACAGTAATAACAAAATAAAATAAAAACAGTATAATCCTGTAATGCCAGATCCCAGATACATTTTTCAGCGTAAGAATATGTAACAAATGTATTCATTGGCTATCGATTAAAAATGGTTTTAAGTTACTTTTTGACTTCGACTAATTCAAAAATACCGCGAGCAATTTTTTTGACTAATACAAAAAATTGCTCGCGCTCGAAAGACTTGCACGTGACGTGTTAATTTTTTGACACAATGAAGTAAAAGTGGATTGAAAAGTATAACATAAGGTAGTATGTGTCCACACAAAAATGACAGTTTGTCTCTCGTATTTTATGTTTGCATGCGCTCATGGAACTGCCGCACCTGTCCGCCTGGCCCGTGACAGGCTGCCGGAAGAGTTGGTCACTATCCATCTCGATCTAAAAGCAAACGGATAACCATGGCCACAGGCGGCATTGGAATAGCTTTGGCGAGGAAGCGAGCATGACGATAGTGTTGTAGGACATCCACCACTGCGACCTCTGCCATCTCTTGTCCGTTAGGCCAACTACTTCAACCCCAATCATTTTATACGACAGAATCCGTCTCTTCGTTGTTCCTTCTAGGGTACATTCGATGCTAAAAAAATAACAATTTTACTAACTAAATAGCTAGAAACTTCATTGTATTTCGTTCGTTTTCAGCATTTCATCACGAGCTTATTTGCTGCATAACAGATGGCAGCACTGTCTGCATCGCTGGTGGCTGGTTTCAGAACATCGTTTTATTGAAAAGACGCAAATAACTTCTGTCGCACGCGACGTGCCGTATCACGGCACTGTACTGTGAAAATCACTATACGATATAATAATACAAAATCCTTCAGTACCACTTAAATGTAAGTAATATTAATATATTGTAAGTAATCTCTACAGTTAATATGTCCTAGTAGCTCAAATGGCAAGAGCAATGCATGATAATGTCTCAAGGCAAAGGTTCCAGGTTCGAATCCTGGCTAGGACGACGGTTTTTTTTTTTTTTTATGTTTTAACATGCATTTCACTATGCTCTAAATTAATATGTCTGATTAGTTCTTTTGTACTACAGAGTTTTTTCAACACAAATTTGAATACATATGATACTAGTAAGAAATGTAGTTCACATTTTACCAGCTGTTCTGAAGTGTATTAAAGTCAACGTGAATTAACATATAACCCTTTTTGACCTTAACGATAAGACCTATAAAGAGAGAGAGAGAGAGTGAGTGAGTGAGTGAGAGAGAGAGAGAGAGAGTGTGTGTGTGTGTGTGTTTTTTTTTTTTTTTTTTTTTTTTTTTTTGTCTCAGTTAACTCTGTTATGAATTCAATTTCTAGGGTTGTGGATTTGAGTCTCGGCTCAAACAGGAAGCCTAGAAATTGACGGCAATGGCCGCGAAAGCCTGCGAACTACCGTTATGAATTGTTGGCATTTAACACAGAAGTGTTATGTACGGCGTTTTGGTTGATTTGCTCCCCATTTCCTATATATTTGCCTTGAAAATAAGCCACGAAATAATTTTCTGATGACTGTAGCATTTTCAAAAGTTATGATAAAACTAACCGTACAAAAACCAATATAATAACAGTACATGGTGAGTCCTTTACAACAGGCCCCGTGGGACATGTGTGTAAAGGAACGAGGGAATGGGGAAATACAATCCAATGTGACAACAAAATACCTAGAATAGAGGCTGGAAGTGGCGGCCAAGAACAAACATACACTTACGTAACGGAAATTAATTGATATAAAAAATTTTAATTGCATATAAAGTAAGATTTTATTATTTTTACTATTGCACAAAATGAGCTCGTGTTTCCAAACCTAAGCGTCAATCATCAGGAAGGATATTTCATTCTATCGTTACATAAACAAACATGTGAAAACAAAAGACAGCCAAATCCAAACACTACACGCACTACACAGCCTTGTAAATAACTCGGGATGAACGAGTAACAAAACGTGCAAGATTGGAAGGCTGTAATTTCATCCATTCGTCCGTCAAAAGTTCACTCTTGCCAAGGTTTTGACGGACGGGGGGGAATTAAAGGGGAATGGTGCACGAAAACCGTATATTATCATAATTGTTGTCACAACTTGTTTCACAGAGGATTTTTTTCGAAATTTTCTGCTCGACAAGACGTAAATAAGAGTTTTGGACACCTTCTTACATTGTTGCGAATTCACTGCGTTCGTTATTCTCAGGGCACTGATTGAATGTCCCACAGGGCCTCTCTTAAAGGACTCATCCTGTAGAAAATTCGCTGTTTATATTTTGAACGCTACGGTGCAACGCTACGGGTATGGATTTCGCTGAAGAAACCCAGTATGACACAATTCTGTTATTTCGGACTGTTCTACTGTCAGTTATGTCAGTAACCCAGTATGACATAATTCTGTTAAATGAAACTGTTGTATTGTCAGTTACGTCAGTAAAGTGGCGGAATATCTCGCCCAGATGTGTAACCAAAAGAATGGTAATTGGTTAGTTTTGATTACATAACCTGCCATATCAGCTTTTTTTTTTTTCTTCACTACATTTAATTATGGCCCATTTTCATTGGTGAAATTATCATAATGTTGCACCAGCAACAAAAAAAAAAATATCATCTATAAAGCAATTTCGAAATTCAGTCTCTGTAATATTTTGTATAACCAAAGCTAAAACATGTGTAGGCCTATGTCTTACTTTTCTCAGAAACATGTTCAACACAACATAAAGCTTAATCTCACACAACATATGTCATACAGTTTTATTTGAAAATAACTAAAACTAATTAATTTGATAGTCTTATAAGAACATGGCAGTGCTGAAACATTGTAACATTTTATCAATTGATTAGACATTAAAAAAAATAGGGTCATATGTACAATTAATACAGAATGGCCACCTACCTGGAGTTAATTTCTGTGAGGCACAGAAACATGGGAATTGTACGGGTGGCACTGCCCCATCACTGCCCCCCCCCCCCCACACACACACACACACAGGACACTAAACAGGCATGAAGGGTTTTTGTTGTGCTACATGTAACTATGGGATTTTATCAGTGTCCAGTCGTTATATCGCTGGGTAGCCTTCAGGCCCATATGTTAGTTTTGTAGGTGTCTGATTAGTATATTTTAAGTTATGGCCGACTGAAAAGCAATTCTAGTTATATTGGAGGGTTTCAAAATGTTATTTTCTTAATAGTATAATATTTTAAAACTACACACCCACCCACCCACATTTGAAACGTTTGTTATTTTAGTAAAAAGGCAGTGAGTGCACTGTAAACCATTTCACAGTTTCGTTAGTAAATATGTATTTCAAACACACTGCAATTCAGCTCAAGCACAGTGTAGGTGGGCCCCTTAGTGAAAGTGAAAAAAAAAAAAAATCAGTACCGGACAATTTAACCTGCATTGCATATTTAATCTCGTGTAGTTTGAAATGTCTGATATTTTTTCTCCTTATATTTTTATGCTGATTATTTATGTATTGGTCAGGAGCAAAATACCACCTTCAACTTGGGGGACGAGAGGGGGACTGCCTTTTGGCACCCTTAGAGTTTAATAAAGTGTCAAGTTTGGCCACACATTTATTATATATTTTAAGGTGCCATAGGACAATAATGCATGGTTGTAGGCAGTGTAGTCTAAGTAACATTGTAACTGAAATACAAAATATTTTTAAAATGTATACAAAACAAAAACTCAGTTTTCAGCTGTAATCTCATACGCAGAAAAAGTTAGTATCAAGTTACAGATCATGCCCAAACTCGACTTAAAATAAACTATGCATCTGGCCCACAATCCCTTTCCCGAATGTTCATGTTCGTTCATTTACTACTGCTCTGGGAACTTTAAAAAAAAATAACAGCGAATTAAAGGAACTGTTGTTGACACTTACATGTATGTAGAAATGTTATTTTGCAATAAAGGCTATGTTAGCAAGAATCTTCAGTGAAATCTCTTGAATCCTAGGTTAGAACAGTTAAGTCAGGTCAGTTTAGTATTGTGTTTATGAGTAATGAATTTTAAAACGAGAGTATTTACTTCTACAGAAAATAATATTCTACTGACATATGCTGCAATGCCAGAGTTAGCTGTTATATAGCAGTGCCAAATAAGGTGAGTGTGTGCGTATTACTGAGGCACGTAGCACAGAAAATGGTAATTATATGTAGTACAATAAGTGCAAAGCTCACCATACCAGAAGTTTTTACATTTATATGATTCTGATGCTGTGAACCATCTCAATTTACCTTCTCTGCAAATGGGTATTGGTGAAAAGGGGTTTAATGAACAAGTGATCTTAGGTTCCTTAATAGATTTTACACAAGTTAAGTAACAAATGAAGTTTTTTAAACTGTGTGCACTGTATAAGTGCACACTCCAAATATACAGTCTCCCAATTAAATTTAAATTGAAATAAAAACTAAAACTTAAATAATATATATGCCTTCTAGTGAACCACAACTCCTGTAATCAAGGAGCAAGGGTGGTACAAGTGCAATTTCATAAATTTGAGGTTATGTTGTGTACCCTCCCCCTTTGTGTATGTGTACCCCTCTTCCCCGTCCCCCCTGTGCTGTGATTGGATGTTGGTTGAGGCAGTGCAATACTGGCACAAGGGACATTTGGGGCTACAGGTGTTCACTCTTCTGTGACTAGCGAACAATTGAGCTCTGACGAGGTTTTAAGGGTAGGGGAGAAACTGGAGAGTTTGGGAGCTCTAGCGACCGGAGTGGTGATGGGATTTGTAGAATACTGTTTATCTCTTCTGTGTTTGGCGAGCAATGACGAGGTTGGGAGGTTAGTATTGGTGGGGAGGGAGGGGGGAGGTGAGGTTGATGAGAGTAAATATATGTATATTCCCATAATGAGTTATTATAAAGTAAGTACTTGCAATTGGAGTACTTACAACTACAGATACACTCTGTAGGCACTTGCGTTCACTGCCTAGTGCTGCCAGGACTCGACTAACCTCCAAATGAATAGCTATTACCTCCATCATACATTACTGGAGGAATAATGGTTTATTAAATAAAAATGCATCCAAGATGTTTCCTTGTTTTTTACTAACAAATCACATACATTGAGAAACTCTTAACACTTTACAAACATGTTTTCAAGATTCTTCTCAAGCAACATATTGTTTTGTAGAAAAAATTTGTTGATGCTTCCAGATCACACTATTTAAAACTTTTAATATCTTTGTTCAAAACCCATGAGTCATGAGCTTTTGTAAACCCTTTCCATCGAACGAGCGACCTATCAATTTCCCTTCTAACAACTTTATGAATTTAATATTCATCTGGACAATTAACTTTCCTTAGTTCGAATATGTAGAAGGCACCAGTGATTGGTTCGCCATTGTAGCTTTCCAAATAACATACTCTAGGGAAAGCATAGTTAATAGAAATAATTTTAAATATTTCATATGACCAATTCGCAGTGTATATTCTTTTCAAAGATACATTTGACATTGGAGATATGTACATAGTCTCCAACTTTGAACTTTGTCTTCCTTTTATTGTAAACCCTCATGTTTTCTTTATACACAAACAATAATAAGCTGTTGTCTTTCACATCGATTGGTGCCATCTTGATTGTTATGAGGAACTGACCATTGTAGAATTTTTACACCTTAGGCAATATTTCTGTCCACAGGTACGTACCACGAGAAGTAAATACTTGTAGGTTAGCAGTTTTAAACCAGTGTTAAAATGTTCTGAAGCGGCTATAGGCTGTTCATCGTAAATTGTACACTTTTAAAATCAATCTTTGAAAAGTGCCACTGCTCCTACGTGCATGTATTTTAACGAGCTCACTGACTGGCGAGCATCCTGTGAAGTTGGTAATGATGGAGACAAAGTAGTTACATGTCTTGAAGATCAATTAAAATTATTATATTGTTACAGGCTACAGCTAGCACCGGCCACCGGCTCCCATTATACATGGCCCAGGGTGATTCACCTCGCCCTCCAATCTTCCCAGAAAGA